GACGAAAAACATTTAGAGGCCGTACAGAAATATGAAGGAGCTTTGTGGATCGAGCAGCAACAGATGGATAAGGACAAGTAAATATAGGAAAAACTCAGTCATACAAATACCCTTAACCCATTAACCTGAATAGTAACACTATTTTCTGTACTACTGAAGTGAAATCTACTTATGAAGCATGCCGTCATGCTCCTATGGAGGTTAGACAAGTGAAGAGTAAATTGGTACAAAGGTTAACAGTAAGGTGGAAAAAAGAAAACGGTGATGAAAGAACAGTTCGCTGTCGAATTCTGTAGAACTAGGTCTAACGCATAGTATTTTGTAGAGGGCAAATTCAGGTGGAAGGGACCAAATCGGGGTAAGAAAGTGAAGCAAGATATGCCCAAAAGTCAGCGCTGAAAAATACTGTATGTGAGACCTTCGTTGCCTTCGATGATACATGCTCTCCCCGAACTCGTTCAATTATAGTGTAAACCATTGGAGGAGAACTTACACATTCCACGCCATGCATTTCTTTCAACCTTCAAGGGTGAGCTTCATAACTAATGCTTTCACTAATAACAGAAGGCCTACATTAAAAATAAAGATGAAATCTAGGAACCTGTAATACATATTTTAATTTTTTTTTTGAAAACAGAGCAAGCAAACAGCAAAAAAGGCAGACAACGAAATCCGGTGCCAGGAAAAAGGAAGACAAAACATTGTCTGTTTGACATAAACAAAAGTAATCGCTAAAACGAGTCTTCTGCCGCACAGAAAATAATAGTCAAGGCCAGCGCAGTTGGGTGAGTGCCAGCGAAGGCCAGCCATCTGGACAGTCGGGTTTTTTTCCAAATATCAAAAAGGATTATGGACAGCTGATCCAACATTAAGACAACAGCGACGGTCAGAAATACGCTGAGTAATGTATGACGCGCTGTACTTGAGAACAAAGAAATACAGTCACATCTGCGAAAACTAAAAACGATAAGAAAAAGGATAAATCTAATTAGACAATGTGAGATAAACTCAACCTACTTACATTACGACCTTTGCGAGTCCCGTAAGAATTGAGGGAAGGTCAAGGGTCGGGTAGAATAGGAAGTACGATTTGATTCCACATTAACACCGTCTTTCAACTACACACTTCTTTCAGTCGCCTATTATATTAACCTGTGAAGTCGTTAGTTATGAACGTGGTCTTATCCCTTCACCCATGGGAAGTGATGCTACAAATCATTCCATCTGAAGCCACGGAATTCAGCTTTCAGGAGATTCTACTGTCTATCAGAAAATACCGGATAAGACGCGTTCGTGTCAATTCGCAACCTACATATGTCCGAAAGACAAACTATGGAAAAACGCTAGACTGACAGAGGTAAACCGAAATTAAAAGGATAAAAAAGGAAAGAAAAAGGGACCGGTTTCCAGCCCTCAAAAAATACTAGACTGGGCGCCTTTACACGTTTCATACACGCAAACATGTCAAAAGACGTGACACCAGCGCCCTCGCAAGTCGTAACGTGTTATAACAAGTTGAATGTGACGCGCGTTGCCGCTGCGAAATCCAATACCTATAATTTATGATGTTACCTGAGCCGGTTTCGCTCATTCTGGCTATCTGATCGCTACCAGCCTACTACAGAATGTTTTCGGCGAGAATATCCTCTTACTATTTATAGCAGAAGTCTTCCATAGTTTTTCAACACATCCTCTCCGTCTTCAAACTCGTGCGTTTGCCTTGGTTGTCCCATTATTTGTGACTCGCTTTACATTTATTGCTACAAAAATTCCAAGAAGAATTTTTGAAGGCGTGAAACATGTTTTGCGAAGTAGCACCCACATTATCCTACCTGAGCAATTAGTCAGCCCATTTACACGCTGCCTTCCGTGGCTATTACTTCAATTTTTCTGGAACCTATTTTTGAGCTCCCTTCTTCATCACTTCTGATTAGGATCTTTCAAACGCCAACAACATAGAGAATCAACCAGCAGATAGGGCACGCTCCCTCAATCCACGGTCTGCTTGTGGTTCACTCTATCGAGAGGTTGGCTTTTTAGTTGAAGATGACCCACACTCCAACTACCCCTCAACTGGCAATCTCACTGCTGTACCCAGCGCCACTGAGGTGGATCTGGACAAACTAGTCGCTATTTGTCAGAGCATATCCGACTTGTTAAGATGATGGAATGTAGACATCTCCGTAGAGTCGTAAAGATTTAAAATATGGAATTTGTATCTCACATGCTTGAGCCCGAATCAGCTCCAAACACGATCTGACATCATCATGTTCCTTCTGATTTCCCTTAGTTCCTTTCAGTGATCATCCTGCATATTCACCAGTGTTGTGGACTGGGTGGAGTGTGCTAGCAAATCCACAAGGAGCAGTAGCCTAGCTCAAACGATTCGGGAGTTCTGACAGCAAAAGCCCAACCTCCTCTAGTCCGACACTTCCAAGATATTGGTGGAGCACGAAAGGGACCTTGCGCTGGGAACCGCCGCCCAGTAATACTAGGGTCACTGAAGAAGATCAACGTCGACAGCGTAATGGCGACGCATTCAATTTGAAAGTAAAGCAAGACAAAGTCTGCTTTTTTCCTGAGGTCGTTCGACCCACCTTGCGGAGAATATTCATAAAAAATTGGAGACTTTCAGGCTAGCCATTCTTTCAGCTCCGCCGTGCAGCCCTACCCTCGTGCCAAAAAAGAACAACCCAGTCTGAGCTCTAGCGCTCTTCCCAGGAAGAAATTTTACGCTAAGTGACATGACCTCAAACCGACTTCCGATCTTTCTTCGATCAATAGCTCCTGGAATTCTAGAGATAAGACAGCGACTAAATTTCCATGTATAGGCAATACATTGTAGATGACAGAGGTGTATGTTTGGATGAGCAAGACTTCATATGAAAAAGAAAAAAAATTAAAACAAAAATACCCAAAGTGATTCACTAATTATGGGACAACCTGATAGTTTTATTGTTTTTTTTATGAGACCGAGGGCTGTCACAAGATCCTCAGGACTGAGCCAAAGAGAGGGCTCACGCCCCTCACCTAGGTCTTTACTCACTCTTCTTAGGCTTACTAGTGTTTCAACAAAAGAAGGAGATCTTTTGAACATTCCTAATGCCCTGCCTCCACAATGCTCCCGTATCTGGCGGTAGCGCCCAACTTCGTCAAGCCTCGCGACTCAAGAAAAAAGCCGAGTGGAGCTTATGCGCTCTAGCGCCAAGATTTCTTGTTGATTTTTTGCTTGTTTATTTATTCAATGTACACTTTTATAAGGCATGTCAGTTATAATCAGTTAGAATAATACGACCAGCTCAAGTTTTGACTACAATGCAAAAGAGGCCCTAGAAGTAGATATGTGAACAAGTTTGCTGGCTATAGTGCCCTGGGACGTTGTCGGTGTTTTCTTTTTACAGCGCACAATTTCTTGTAGTCTCCTGCCTTTCAACCCGTTTATAGCTGAATAAGAGAATTGTAGCCCTAATGAGAACAAAAAGAAATACTGTCACATTGCTCGTGAACACGACGGGGATCACGACATGACAAATTTGTACTAATTCAATCCAAATTCGGCTCCTGTGACAGAAAAAAGGTGTGGAGATGCAGTGATAGGTTGCTTGTAAACCCGCGACGAAAATTGTGAAATAATTCGTTGGATTCGGATTTCGGCCTTGCCTCCTTCATATGGGCTTAGGTCGAAGATTAATGTGACATAACTTCATTCTAGAGGCTCTAATGAGGACAAGGGCGAATCATCAGCTCAGTCAGCGACTTCCCATTTCGCGCCTGCACGAACATTAATTAGCACCTTCTGTGCCAAGATCTACTGGAAGTCAAACATGGCTGATTCAGTCTTTTTCTGTTAGCCCTGATAGCTGCTTGCGATCACCCATGAATGACAATGCATCTTGGCGCTTATTTCATCTACTCTACAATGCTTTGAGAAATATGCTAACCATAATGCTTCAAGGACGAGCCCTAACATTCACTACAAGCCCGTGAGCATGATACGGACAATATGAGCAGGGTCATTATAAGGATGCGTAGTTGAGATAAGATATTCATTGAATTTCGGCAGTTCTGAAGAGTCAATAAGGCCAATGAATTACAAGGCTCAGCAAATGTATATAGAGAAGAGCGAATCGATACCAATGAGAGCAGTCGCGCAGCTGTTGAACGAATGAAGGAAGCGACATCTGGAGGAAGATAGAGAGGGGCTGCACTGCGCAGGCGGCAATCGTGCGCTCACGATTTACATAATGGGGTATGCCGAATTACGAGTTGTGCTGGAATTAGAAGCGATATTTTTTCCGATGAGTACCCATTCAAGATTATTGCCTTGGAATTCGGAGAGAACGCTACTTGACTCTAATGGGACAGGGCCATCCCGAGAAAGCAAAAAAGAAAAAAAATAGCAACTTCAGTGGGCCCACAAGATTTCGATGTTATCAACAAGGACTGGGTCAGGAAAAAAGGGAAGAACTGCAGCATGTTCTCGAAAAAGTAGCAAAATCAATACAAAATTTATTTTTGTTTACAATTCTTTTTTCAGTGGTGGCACGACTACGGATCATGACGCGCGAAAGATAATCGCTTCTACTCATTTAATATTTTATTTTTGTTTACAATTCTTTTTTCAGTGGTGGCACGACTACGGATCATGACGCGCGAAAGATAATCGCATCTACTCA